GGGCGCCCCGGCGGCGCGCCCGCCCAGCCCGGGCGGGCCCGTCCGACGGACGGTCACGGGTTGCTATTCACAACGGTTCAACTTGGCTTCGGCGGTTCTGGCGCCCCGCGCCGGGCCCCGCCGAGGATCATGGCAGGCTCCAAAGTTCCGACCGCAACCCGGCGCCGTAGCCGGGGCGCCGGGACTCGGAGGGCCTGACTCGGACCGTGACTCCTCAGGACGGTGAGTCAGTGAGGTGATCCGGGACTCGGAGGCTCGCCGCCGGCCGTGGGCCGGGCCCCGGCCGGGCCCGGCCGGTGTGACGGTGGCCGCGCACGCCGGTGGTGGCCGCCGCCGCCGCAGCCCCACCGGCGGGGGGGCTGCATACGGTGCCAGCACCGGCCCGGGGCGGGCTGGCAGGCCGGGCGCCGGACCGGCACTGAGTCCACCGTCGCGGCGGCGGCAACTTGCCAGTGCAGCGGGCGGCCCGGGCCGGACTCCGGGACCGGCGGCCGACCGCCCTGCCTATCGCCACATCCCCGCTCATTCATCAGGCAGCGGTGCATTGCGCACGTGCGGTAGAAGGGAGGGATGAGCGGGAGTGGGAGGAGGAAAGGAGGGCAGAGAGGATAAAGACAAGGCAGGATCGAAGAAACAGATGTATGTTCATACCGAAGATAGCAATGATGATTGCTTGAGTTGAGACAAGACCGTAGAAAATGACGAGCAGTTCCTTTAAGTTGGTCCTATTGATCAAGTGTGGTTCAGAAATTGGAAGTAATGAGCCATTTGAACACTTAAATGGGCAAATGAGAGCGTTAGGGTATAGAGATCATGCGCAAACCTGGGTGAGACATGAAGATATTGAACGAAGTTTTTCTTGCCATGTTTGTTGTCGCGAGGTTGGGGGTACACCAGATTGTTAAAGTTGATGTCTTGATAACGATTGATGTATCGCAATGGCCATCTGTCTGCTTTTGAGCTGTGCATCAGCTTATTACTTTCCCATGTATCCATGAGATGATTTTTTTTTGGCAGCGGGCAGGAATGCCGAGCACAGTCAAAACTCCAAGGAGTGTCCGAAAGGTAGAGAAGAAGGAATCCGAAGAACTAAGGGAGGCGAGCCAACGACTTACGAAGAGCGAGAGCAAGAAACCTCGTCATGCCTCCAAGGCAGACGATGCTGCTGATCTCAAGGGGCTACGGCTAGCAGCGAAGAATGAGGCTAGAATGAACGGGCACCACAAAGGGCATGAAGACGCTCAGATGAACGGGATTGACCCAAAGAGTAGCAAAGCAATAGAGAAAGAGAAAGAGAAAGAGACAAAAGAGGACAAGAGAGACAGGATCAAAGTTCACCTCTCTCGCTTTGTAGAATACCTGCCTAAGGTAAGACTCCGGACAAGGTCATCTTTAGTCCGAACTTGACTCAACCCGCAGGCAATTAACGCCATGGCGTACAACCCCATCGAGAACATCCTAGCTGTGGCGAGGAGCAACGGGGACATTCAGCTGTGGAGGACGACGATGCCGAGATGGCACCCCATCGGAGTTTGCGTGGGATCGGGAGGCTCGCAGATCCGGAGCCTGTGCTGGGCAAACAAGGACGAGTCGGCGATGCGGCTATTCAGCGCTTCTCTGGATGGGAGGTAAGGGCAATGCTCGTGGACGAGGCGTACAGCAGTGACATTGCCCCCTGCAGTATTATGGAGTGGTCGATGAAGACCCTGGCTCCGATCGTAGTCAACGACTCTCATGGAGGGTCGATCTGGTGCGTGCAAGGAGGAGGAGGAGGAGGAGGAGGAGGAGGAGGAGGAGGAGGAGGAGGAGGAGGAGGAGGAGGAGGAGGACCTTTCCCTCAGCAACTACTCCATTCAGTTCAAGGGTTGCTGCAGACTCTCAACGCTTGTCAACAACGCGGGCTCGTACTGGCAAGAGCGGGCGATGATCCAGCTGGCAAACAAGCTCCCCAACGAGAGCCCCATGATTGCCCGAGTCATGCAGGTCGAGGCCTACGCTGGACAGACTATGTCATTCAAGATTCAAGCATTTCAGGTGCTTTGACCCCTCTTCTTCTTCTTCTTCTTCTGCCGCTGCCGCTGCCGCTTTCATTTACGCTCCACTATCACCGCCAGCGCTTTCAAACCTTCCTTCCTGTTATCCATTTGTGACATCTAGACAGCCTGAAGGAAACAAGTTGAGCTGGAGGATAGGGACGCAGCAAGAGTTCGATCCCTTGGGGACCAGCAAGCTGCCCGGACCTCCTGCTTCTCTTGCAGTGGATGCTACGAAC